TTTAATCCGTCATAGAAATTGTTCAAATGTGGTTGAAAGAAGCTTAATTGCCATAATTGAATTGTAACAATGAGTGAAATTCATTTTTATGTACTTTATATGGCGTGTGGGGGGATGATTTCATAAAAAAAATTCAAATTTTAGAAATTTTTTTTCATGTTATTTGTTTTTGGGGCAGAACGGTGAATGGATATTCACTAATTGTGTTGTTAAATGTAAACTTTTAAATTGTTTTGTTCATTGCAATGCCAAATTGTGTTCTTTGAATTGTATCCGGGTTCCGCAACAAGGTCTCTCTCTTTGTTCTTTGTTCTTTTTTTGTTCTTTTTTTCTTTAATCGTTCCGAGAAAATTTTAATTCATTGTTTTGAATTTCAAGAACGGAATATTTGTGCTCGAGGTGGGTTTTTTTTCAGACAAATTTCGATTTTTCATCTAGCCATTTCTGACGGTATTTTTTAATATCGTTCGAAAAGTATTGGTGTCCTGAGCTTAAATTTGAAAAGATATTTTACCTGTGATCATTTGAAAAATTATGGGGTTTAAAGATTGGCATTTTGGCCAACTTGGGACAATTAACGCGAGATATATTTCGCGCGTTTTAACGCGTAAGCGGAGATTTAATCCGTCATAGAAATCGTTCAAATTGGTTGAAAGAAGCTTATTTGCCATAATTGATTTGTAACAATGAGCGAAATTCATTTTTATGTACTTTATATGGCGTGTGGGGGGATGATTTCATAAAAAAAATTCAAATTTTAGAAATTTTTTTTCATGTTATTTGTTTTTGGGGCAGAACGGTGAATGGATATTCACTAATTGTGTTGTTAAATGTAAACTTTTAAATTGTTTTGCTCATTGCAATGCCAAATTGTGTTCTTTGAATTGTATCCGGGTTCCGCAACAAGGTCTCTCTCTTTGTTCTTTGTTCTTTTTTTGTTCTTTTTTTCTTTAATCGATCGAGAAAATTTTAATTCATTGTTTTGAGTTTTAAATTGCGACTGTCACGAAGGGCCCCTCAAATCACACTGTTATTTCCTTGTTAAAAATTTTGAACAAAATGAGGAACGTATATGCTTGTGGGTGGTTTTTTCTATTTCAGACAATTTTCTGAAACGAAAATCAGAGACTGGGATCTGAGCCTGCAATAAATAAGCTACCCAGTAAGTGTACTAAGCAGTATTAAGTGTAGGGGGAATTGGGCGGAGACGGGCGTCCTTCCTTCTCTCTCTTCCCTGTTGGAATTATACTTTGATAGATTGCCTCAAAACGCGAATTATTTATGCGTCCTAAATTATTTGCACTCATAATTGTTCCAAACTAAATTGAGATAAATAAATTGGTCTATTTATTTCCATAAACGACTCAAAATTGACACTTTTATATTATCAGCCTAAAATTTGTAGTTTGTCAATATTTCATACACCAAAAACAATTCGAGGCAGTTAATGGGCAGTCGGATTATTCAGCAATAAATAAGCTACCCGGTAAGTGTACTAAGCAGTATTAAGTGTAGGGGGAATTGGGCGGGGACGGGCGTCCTTCCTTCTCTCTCTTCCCAAAGAGTCGACCCCCTGACACTTGTATATTATCAGCCTAAAATTTGTAGTTCGTCAATATTTCATACACCAAAAACAATTCGAGGCAGTTAATGGGCAGTCGGATTATTCAGCAATAAATAAGCTACCCAGTAAGTGTACTAAGCAGTATTGAGTGTAGGGGGAATTGGGCGGGGACGGGCGTCCTTCCTTCTCTCTCTTCCCAAAGAGTCGACCCCCTGCTTACCTAAAGTGTCTCCTATTGGTACTAAAGTACCTTTGGTGTCAATGTACTCAATTTTGAGCAGTTTCAGGAAATAATTGTGGTCCAATTGAAAAAAAAACGCCCATCGAGAAAATTCTAGATTAAATCCTAATTCTACGTATTATCCTATATACACTTTGATCAATCAATTTTTGAAGACTTTTTTTGACTGCTGAAAAATAACACTGAGTATTATCAACCATTCAAAAATTCAATAAACTCCAAATTAAAATCAGGCCATGTTACGATCATATTTAGTCTTTTAAGGAATTATTACCGTTTCTTTGCAGGAAATTCTCAGATCATATAAGATCTAATTGTTCCGACTTTCAAAGAAAGTGCGTAATATTTATTTTTGGGTCGTTTTCTTTATTCAGTCAATTTTCGACTTTATATCTCTTTTTTATGACAAAAAATTTCTCATACCAACTGAAACATTTTATTTTGTGAGCTCAAATTAAAAAATATATTTTACCTGTGATTGTTTTTGTAAGGTAATGGTCGCTTAAAATTGCTATTCTGGCCAATTTGATTATAAGAACTTCGCAATAGATTGCGTTTTTATAACAAGCGTGAGATGAGGAGTATGCTTTCTAAACTGAATTGATGCAAGTCATTTTTTTTTAGAATATAGGAGATCAAATATACCTCTTTGTAGTTAATCATTCGTGAATGAGGGAAAACATTTTAAGAAACTGGAAAAAATATCTATGCTTTTTATTTTTTCATGTTTATTTCATCAATGTTTTAACCTAAAACTTTAAAAATTGACCTTAAGGGGCAGTTGGAATACTCAGGGCTTCGCCCTGGAAAACGAGCAGACTTGATAATTTTTATTCACAAGCTTGCTTCCCCTAAACATTCAAAATCCACAGATTTTAGTTTAATAATTTACTGTCAACCCTAAAATTGAAAAATTTTTATATCAGAGAAAACTTTAGATCAGATTTTAGTACTACTTCTCTCAAATTTGAAGCCCTAGTTATGGCTGTTGAAACAGTCATGATTATCTCCTTCTCAAAATTGTTCAGAATTGAAATCAAGCCTTATTATGACCATAGTTTTTCATTATAAGAGATTTTATAATTTCCTTTTACGAAGTCCTTAGATGATATAAGAACTAATTGTTCCGACTTCCGATAAAAATGAGGAATTTTAATGCTCGGGATGGTTTTTTTTATTCAAAGTAATTTTAGAACAGTTGACTGCGCATGGGCTTCAATCCGGAAATCTGGGGATTGCGAAGCGAGTGTGCTTGCAATAGACTAAAGTGCAGCTTTGCTGTAGAAATAATACTTTGATAGTTTGCCTCAAAACGCGAATTATTTATGCGTCCTAAATTATTTGCACTCATAATTTTTCCAAATTAAATTGAGATAAACAAATTGGTCTAATTATTTCCATAAAAGACTCAAAATTGACACTTTTATATTATCAGCCTAAAATTTGTAGTTTGTCAATATTTCATACACCAAAAACAATTCGAGGCAGTTAATGGGAAGTCGGATTATTCAGGGCTTTGCCCTGATACAAGCAGTCTTGTTGGTCATAGGATTACTTTTTGAGGGACTCCAAATCAACTCTTAAAGTCAACTCTTTAAATAAATATTTAATATTTACACCATCGAATTGCTTAGTTTATCAAAACTTTCTCTACCAAATATAACTGGAGCCCAAAAGAAAGGTAGTCCAAATTTTCAAGGTATCGCCTTGATATACTAACAGCCTTCTCTGGAGATATTTGTGTTGAGAACAAATATTTGTCGTTTACTTTTGCAAAACAATAGCAGTATATTTAAGAAACAAAACAAAAACTGCTAACATTGCTTTTTTTTCAATTTTTGTCTCCTTTGAATACCGCGGTGATTTTAATTAAGTTTATTTTACGTTTCTGTTGAATCTCTGATTCGAGAATTTTTGCAGAAAATTAATTTCGGTAAAAATTAGTTTGAGGTTTAAACATAATTGCTTGATCTGTAATTTCTAGAATCAACGGTTCTTGAGTGATAGTTTATCTGGTATCAAAACGTTAGAAAACAGAAAACCAAAAACTTATTTTTCTCTTAAATTTAATTTTCATTTCACTGGTTAAGTTCAAGTTGTCGGATCAATTGAGCAATCTCACTCCCCTCCCCCATTCCCGCAATTGAGCAATCTCACCCCCCGCCCCGTTCTCGCCTGGGGGAGATAGCTCAATATGTACTTGAGACATGTTTATAAACACTTCAAAGTAGTTTGATTGATATGAAATCATAAACCAGATTGTTCAACAATAGTGGAACGCCAAAATTTACAATATTAAAGCTCAAAAATTACATTCACAGTGAAAAAAGAATCAATCAACTGAGGTACTTAAAGCGATTTTTTTTCTGTCCTCAATAGAAAAAAGCTGTTGCGTACAACTTTAATGTGCTGCGAAGAACAGTTTTTGATATTCAAATACAAGGCTAAAGCACCAATCCTGGAGGTCACTTTCTTCGATGAGGCAATGGTCTCCAAAACAAGTATTTGCAAAAAAGTTTTATAAATATATTTCTTTTATAAAATAAATAGATTTTTTTCTTTTTAAAATTTTTTCTCCGTACTCATATAAAATAAACTTCAGGCGGTCAATTGATTGCTTGCTAGGATTACATAAAACATCTACTTGCGTTAGCTGACGTCTGTTTGTAGCGTTTTACCGTTTTTGCTAGGGGAGTCATAACGGGGGGGGGGGGGGGGAGAGATATTGCTCAATTGATCCAAGTTGTCAATCATCAGTTGTGTGCATCAATTTTATTAACAGAGTTATCACAACAGTTTCAGTTTTAGGTGGTTACAAATCTCAAAATTCTTATAACAGTTTTTATAAGCTTACATACCTAGAAAACTAGATTTTCCTGTGATTCGTTTCATAATTGTTGTTCTATTCACCCGTCAGAAGCCCTATTTGAATCATGTTAATTAATTAATTTACTAGATTTTCCTGTGATTCCTTTCATAATTATTGTTCTACTCACCCGTCAGAAGCCTGTTTGAATCATGCAATTAATTAATTTAACTTTTTGAAATGTAGTGTTTTAAATTGTATTGAAAATGTTGCACTGTTATTTTTTTAACTTTTTTATTTTTTGCTTTCAGTTTTTCGGCGTTGATTGCTTTGCATCTTTGTAAGACTGATCTGATCTCCGAAATGAAAAGGTGAAACAATTGGTCGAAAATAGTCAATTTGTACAAAAAATGACAAATTGTGAAAAATTGATTCAAATGTCATTATTTACTAAAAGCCGAGTAATTGACCGTGATTGAAGTTTATAAGGTATTGCCGTGTGAATCTTGGTTTCGTTTATTTCAGTCATCGGATCACAACCGACGGACATTTTCCCTGATCGAAGTTCTGAGCTGATATGCTATTTGTGTTGGTCATTTTTGTCCGGCTGCTAAATTCACAGTTTGATTTCGAGTTCAAAGGGTTCAATAACTCGGAGAAGCAATGAACGTACAAGTGACACATGTTCTTGACCGATTCTCGTGCTACGTTTCCTCCGAACCCAATGAATGCATTCTGAAACAAGGCTGTATATTAAAAAAACTGATTGTATGAGCAGTTCATGGTTTAAAAAACATAAGAATTACAGTAGAACTGAAGTGGGAATTCAAGCTTTCTTCATGTGTTACCTGCAAAAAAACACAAAAAACTCAATCATTCGTTTTTTATCGACATAGAAACAAATTTTTTAAAAAAATTTACAAATAATAATCACAACTAAAAGGATTTAACATTTACAAAAAACTTCAACTTACAACAAATTTTTTCAAGTTACTCAAAATTGACGGAAAAAAGCTCACACTACGCCATAGTTCCGCTGCATCCCTTTGGATGGGGGGAATGGGGATGGGTTGTGGGTAGTCTGAACAAAAAATGTGTTTCACATTTATAAAAAAAATTACAATATTTTGGCCTGTTCGTTTCCCCAGTTTTCATCATACTCATACAGTTTCAGCCACAATTGGTGATAGAGAGTCTGACTTGCGCTCCTTATTCATGACAATAGAAGACAAAACTCCCACTCAAATTTATCAAAAAGTTATAACAAATACAATATCAATGATACTAAGACAAGTTACAGAATTTTTTTTGCAATGGGTCAGCAAAAATTTGCCGATGACACTAAAATGGATGTTTTTCATTCATGCATTTTTGTGGCTCAACCAATTTCTAGTGCATTTCGTGTTGAACAAACTCCTACAAGGCTGTAAAAAAATCCTGTATCACTTACAAAATAAAAAATTTTAAGAACGTTTTTTTTTTGGAAATTCGGTTATATTTAGTCAAAAAAATATAGATCAAAATTTGCTTGATTTTTTGTCTAGTGTTTCATTTTGCGGTTTCTTTTGTAAAATTCTAACCTAAAAACCTACACTTAAAACGTTTCAATTCTTTTGGTTCAATGATAAGCAATAATACAGGGCCAATTCATAATAATTTAAATCAGTCGAACTTTTTTTTTTCGCTAAAATTTAAACCAAACAAATCGAACCCATTTAATTAACGGTGTGATATTAAATTTCTTGAAATGATGCACGCGAAAGTGCTGTAAATTTTGTCAAAATTTATTTCAATTTCAGAAAAAGAACTTGAAAATTTTATTTTCTTACCTTTGTAAAAACTTTTAAACTCAGAGTTGTATGAGCTCAATCAACACAATAGACAGTAAAGGTTCGGCAAACCGGGAAAAAGTAATTCGAAAAAAAAAACGCTCCATTACGAGGCCAAACTGTGTATTTTGTGAATTGTAAGCGGATTTCACAACCAGGACTCGCTCTTTGTTCTTCTTTGGTTTATTCGTTTTTTTTATTGTTGCGACAAGACTTTAACAGGCTTGAAGACTTGTCTCTGGATTTGAAAAACATCAGTTTTTCTCTGTGTTTCTCAACATTAGGAAAACTTTTTAAAAGTTTTTAAAAATTTTCAAATCACATCTGAAGAGGCTTGATTTGATATATCGCTCGACCCATTCCGACAAGAAAAGTTTGCTTTAAAAAAATTAACTTTAGAAGCTGTATTTGGTACTTTCTTGGCAATAAAAGTTTTTTTTAAAAATTAAGAGAAAAATTAATGAACTGTATTGAAACAATTTTGAAGATTTTTCAATTTATTTTTGTTTTTCGTTTTTTATTGACAACTCTTGCCAAATTCGCTAAATTTTTAGGCGTTTGTGTTGTTTTCTCATCACATCTAGCACAAAAAGCGACACTAAATTGAAGAACAAAAATCTTCTCACCGTTTTTTAATGAAAGCAGTGGGGACATTCTGAGCTACATGCACAAGAAACGGTCATCTTTGTTTTTAGTTTTAATCAAATGGATTCAAAGTAGCAAATACCAGTCATTTGATCAACTAAACTTTACAAGACTGCTCGTATCAGGGCGAAGCTCGTATCAAGACGAAGCCCTGAATGTTCCAACTGCCATTTAAGGTTTATGGAGCAGCAGTAATAACATAAAAAAAGTTAAATGAAATAAAAATAAAATGAAATTTCTTTTTCTAAAATTTGAAATTTGTTGTGAAAATCATCCCCCCACACGCAATATAAAGATTTAGTTCCTTGTATCAAATCAATTATGGCAAATAAGCTTCGTTCAACCAATTTGGAACGATTTATAAGACGGATTAAATCTCAGCTCACGCATTAATAGCGCGAATTATATCGCGCGTTAATTGTCCCAAATTGGTTAAAAGGGCCAAAATGGCAATCTTTAAACCCTCATAACTTTACAAAAAATGATCACAGGTGAAATATTTTTTCAAATTTGAGCTCAGGACAACAATAATTTTTGACTGATTTTTAAAAAACTTCCGTCAAAAAGGGCTAGTTAAAAAGTCGAAATTTGTCTGAAGAAAAAAAACCCACCCCGAGCACAAATATTCCGTTACTTTCGTATCGAAAGTCGGAACAATAATTTAACCGGCACACCAACACTTCATATTTGAACTTAGGCGAGCTAACTTGTTCAAACGATTCAGCTATTTATGGACGGAGAATTAAAATTCATAATACATCAATCTCGTTTTTGACCAAACTGTTCAGCTATTTATGAACGGAGAATTCATTTTCATAATAAACTAATCTCGTGTTAGTTAAATCAAAGCTGGAAACCTTTCAGCCGGTTCGTTTAGGAGAAAAGTTGACAAGAAAAAATATTCAAAGTTGAAAAGAGGTAGCAATTTTCACCAAAATGAATTGAAACAAACAAACAAAGCCAACAGACTGTTGGAAAAAAGTCAGTGCAAGTAAGCAGAAAAAATAATGACTAATTTTTAGAAAAAAATCTCAATAGCTGAAATTTCAAAAAAAAACTAAATGGCTGTAAAGCTCTCCGAATTTTTAGAACTATTTATTATTGACACTTTTTTGTTTTTGATCAAGTTAACCCAATTAGACAAAGCTGAATCAATAGGTAAACTTTTTGCTCCACTGGGATATCTGTAAATTAACTTCATTTTCAAAATTAGAAAGCGATCACGGTTTTCATGACCTGTTTACATTTTTGCTGTCTGATAGTGAAATTTATCTTCCTTGTAAGAATGGAAATGTTCAAAACGAAATTTAAAATAGAAACGCCAAAAAAATAGGGTTAAACTGAACTTTAGCCTGAACAAAAGCGAAAAAGTAAAATTCAGCCTGAACAAACTTTAAGATTTTTTCTGAAAAAAAAACGCAAAGAAAAACGTCATGATCTATATAATAGTTTGAAATACGTTCATTGAGAGTGCAGTCAAGACAACCATGTCTTTGATCTGATGCAGGCAGTCTTTTTGTTCTGACGTTCGAAAAATATGATGGGACACTTGCTCACAGGATGCTTTTTTCTGCAGAGAAATTTTGAATTTTCAACTAACAATTTTTGACGGAGTTTTATTACAGTCCGAATTATTTTGATGCCCTGCGCTCAAAGTTAAAAAACTAAGTACCTTCTACATATATTTTTTGAAAATCAATTTTCGACAAGTTTTTTGTAAAGTTACCGGGTTTTTCAATTTGGTGAAACTGCAATAATTTTTCCGCGAGAAAATCCCTACTCTCTTCGTACGCGTAGTGTGCGAAATAATTTCGAAAACTTTTCCGCGATGTTTTACAACAAAAAATGAAAGTTCAAACTTTTTTGCCACTACACCAAATAAGTTAACGAGCAGTCGGATCATTCAAGACTTTGCCCTGATACGAAATGCAAGCAGTCTTGTTAAATCTAAGATCAAACTTCAAGTTCTATTTTGATAAGTTTTCTGATTTTCTTAGCTTTAAGAGGTCATGACCGTCCAGGTTAGAACATGAACCAAATTCCATCTCAAATAATCCACGATCAAATAATGACATAGATAAGTTCAGCTCCAATGACATCTTCACTTTACTGTTATTTGATGAGCGTGAACAAAGTTTTTCAACTGATTCTTGTTCAAAGTCCTGCTATTGAAATTCTTGTCAGAATACCTCTGTTAAAAAATTAGGATACCACTCGTGTTGTAAAAGAGTGACTTAAACTAAGAATAGATTAAGACTGTGGATGATTAAGATTCCTACTAAAATTGTAGGCTTTTATTTAAGACTAAATAAAAGACGGGGATTCTATCTAAGTTAAGAGAGGTTTAAAAGATTGAATTGGTTGCGATTGATTTGTTACGTATCATAAAAGATAGTGTCCAATTCAGAGTCTACCAAAAGCCGTTGCGCTTTTGGCAGGTATATAAATTAACAACTTAAAGGTCGATGGTAAGTTAAGATCAGAGGTTAAATAAACAAACCATAATACTTTTACATTCCCCGCGAAATTTTATCTATAATCTATCCCTTTCGCCTCACCAGAAGGGAACAAAACAAAAATGATTAAGCACTAAGATGAATGAATCAGTAGGCGCATTGTCTAGGACCCCCGAGAGTGGATCTAGATTCGTAAGAACACAGATTTGATAAAGGGCCCAAGAGGCGTATCATAAACTAAGTACAATTACACGGTTATCAGGTCGAAAGGGTGGGTGTACAGTACGGGGAAGACCGGTGATCGGACCCGACGGGCCGGACGGCAAGTTCAACAAACAAAAACAAGATTCCAAAACAAAGCACCTTAGATCGAATAATATGTATTCGTCGGAAGAAATAACTATACACTGGTGACTATAGGCAAGCAAGAAACTGAAATAGCACCAGGGTGAATAGAGTCATAAGGTATGCAGAGAGTTGTCGTAAAACTAAGCGGAATACTGGGTAGAACCAAAATGAATAAATCTAATTGTTATCCGATGGTAGCGCCCCATGGGTGAACAGAACTATAATGGAATTCGGCAAAATTCTGTGGCCAAAACAAGGGTATAAATGTTACCAATCATCACAATAACTTAAAATAACAGCACTGGAGGTTTGTATGACCCTAGGATCCTGGAATGTTAGGCGATAAACAATAAACAGAACATATAGGTGCTAGAAGTTTTACGATGGAGTTTTGATAGGTCAAGAATGTTTTTGATGACATCTATTTTCGAGCTCCTGCGTCTAATCAGATTCCCGA